GTTTCTAAATAGGAAAATTGGGCTTAAAAGATAATTAAGGAGCCAGAGCAGCAATGGTGCCAGCCATACACAGAGCCTTGGGGTCATGTTAATAAGTGCCCCTATGTGCTTCCTTGCTGTTTATGATAGCAAGGAAGTAAGTGGCCTTAAAAGCCCCCATTTTATAGACAGGGAGGGTGAGGCTCAGAGATGTGAGGTCACAAAATGAACTAGCATTTGAACCCAAGTAGGTATGACACCAGGGTCAGTGCATTGGAACTGACCCTCCTATGACCCCTGCCTGCAGCCCTCACCTCCAGGCTTGCTTTGCAGGAGCAGCTGCAGTCCCTCAAGGGAACCTGAAGAACAGGTGCAGACGTTGGGGCTTTGGGGGCTCTGACAGCAGGCAGAGGCAGGGCGCTCAGAGAGGCCTCCTAGTGCCTACAGAAATAATCCACGAGAAGTGATTAACTGCTCAGGGATGTGGATCCAATAAGGCCAGACTCTCCATCCTGGGATAGTAAGCTAATTAATCTGGGAAAAGGTCTCCTCTCCAGGATAGAAAATACTCAAAGTCTCGCACGGCATCACAGCAGCCGCCTCTCAGCACATGTTCCCTGCAATTCAGCTCCCTTAGAAGCTGATGGATATGTATTTATGTCTGCATATATAGGCCTATACATTCTTTTGAACAGAAATGTTAAATTCTCAAGATTAAGTATCTTCAGTTGGGGAAAATCAATTTACTTCTTTGAGGAGGCTAGACTTGAAAGCAGTGAGTCTAAAACTTCCTTTCTTGCCAATTTTTCTGATAAAAAAAAAAAAAAAAACAGCCTCATACTGGCAGATCGCCCTGTGTTGGCTGCTCCAAATGATTCTATTAATTGATTTGGGTGACTGGCCCTGCAGTAATCCTTATTAAGGTTCCCACCAGAGCCAGGACAGGCAGGATGACGTGAGAGCCATCAGTATATGGGACTCCACTCCCCAAGGAGGCGACTGCAACTCAGGCTGGTGATTGGGAGAGGGGAGCTTGGGCCTCTGGTGATGAGGCCCACCGAGACAGGGCAAGACTTTGCTTCTTTCTATGGTGGACATGCTGGGGAAGGAGGGGGGCAGGGGTTGCGGGATTGTGTTCCAGAATCACTGGACTGTGCTCAAGGACAAAATGTAATGGTAACAGAGATATGAGATGGTGTAATCGACAATGGGCCCAAGATCTAGGCCAAGGACAGTGAGAGACATCCAAGGAAGCAGGTTGCAGACTCATGTGACACCAGGCCAATAGAGGACATGAGTTTAGGGCACCAGAGCTGGAGGGTGGAATTCTTGAAATGTATGTCACAGCTAGCTACAGCTTATTGTCACTTCTCATCTTAGCTGGCCCATGCTCTCTGGTGTCCTTCCCTGTTTCTCAGTCCACTGGTGGTCTTCAAAATCCCTCTGCCTTGATACCTTCTCTGGCCTCACCTGAAATCATTGGCTCTCTCTATGGAACTGTATTCTGGAAAAAGCATCTCTGTTGGCACCAAGCAGAGGCCTGTAGAGGGAAGGAATGGGCAAGTGAAAGTGGATTCGGAAGACAAAGGGGTTCTGATCTCATTCAGAGGCACGAGGAGTAAGGCTCCGAGAGTGGTCAATTGGTTACTTTGCCAAGAATTAGGAGTTATGGGTGACTGCATGGAGAGTGAGTAGATGAGTGAGAAGGAGAAGAGGTGGGTGAATGGGTGAAAGATGGGGAAGAGGATGTGTGGACATATGTTGCAAGAACAGATGGATAAAGAGGTTGCAGGTTAAGCGAATAGTGGGATAGTTGGATGAATGATCTAGCAGGGATTGGGAGCATGAAGAGAAGAGAGAGGGATCAATGCATGGACAGATGAATCAGGTGGATATGTGTGTGGATGGATTAACAGGTAGATGGACTAATGTGTGCGTAGATGAGCAGATAGATGGATGCATGTGTAGATAGATGCATGCATGGATTAACAGTGGATCAACTAACAGGAGGTTATAAAAGAGCCTTGGGCATCTCATTCAGCCCTGATTCCCAATTACGTAGAAAAGGAAGAATTTGGAAAGCAGGAGTGGAATGCATCTGAAGAGCTGGAGTCTGAGGGGAGAACAGCATTTAGGTCAGGGTAACCAGAATGTAAGCATGTCTGGAAACATGTGTATCTGGCAAGGCAGAGATGGTTGGACTTGGATAATTTGGTTATAAGAAGAGTTGGAGTTCATGATTATCTGTAAAAACAGCTCTATCAGGAACAGTTACAGCTCTCGGGAGCATGTAGGCGAGAGTATATTCGTTATCTACTGCATAATGAATTGCCCAAACTTTGTGTCTTAAAACAACATCTGTTGCTTGGCAATTTGTGGTCAGGAATCCAGCAGAGCCTCAAGAGTCTTCTTCTGGGGCTCCTCGGAAGGCTGCGATCCAGCTGTCAGCCAAAACTGCAGGCACTCTAAGGCATGGCTTCTAAGTGCACGGGGTATGCGCAGCCTCAGTTCCTCTCGTGCTGTTGGGCCGATTAAGAACTTTTGTATTTCAGTGAGTATTGGCCAGACACTGTCTTCTGTCTCTTGCCTTGGGGAACTCTTCCTAAGGCAATTTCCACCATGGCAGCACCTCCCTCAGGGGAGATGAGAGAGAGAGAGAGAGAGAGAGAGAGAGAGAGAGAGAGAGAGAGAGAACAGGAAGATGAAACACCATCTCTTGTCACTCAGAAGTAGCGTTCCATCACTTCCAGGGGTCGATCCAAAAGCAAGTCAGGAGGTCCAGCCCACACTGAAGAGGAGGAGGTTGAACAACAGTATGACTGCTGGAAAATGGGGAGGGGATGTCATCGGGAGCCATGCAGAGCTCAGGGAGGAAGTGTGCCAAGCAGGAAGAGGGGCTGAAAGAGCTGGCAGAGAATCTGCATATCAGAAATTATCCGGAAAATGAGAAACATCTGGGGCACCAGAGAAGCTGGAGATGAGAATCTTCTTTAAGGGGAGAGGAGCTGGTGGGGGAGGGCACTTGGAGATGAACTGAGGTGGAAGGAAGGCTGGAAGGTGGCTAGCTGTAGAGCCGGCTAGGCAGAAGGAGCATAGCTGTGAAGGTGGAACAGCCAGTGAGCAGGGACAGCTGCAAACAGGAATAGCTGTGTGAGGCCCAGAGAACCCAGGCCTCAGAGCCTCCATGTCTTTGAAGCAAGAGAGTTCGCAGGCGGGGGAGTGGCTGGTCTGTGAAAGGCCCCCTGCCCTGTGGCCCTCAGCTGATGCCCTCTCAGATGGAGCTCCAAAGGCTCCTTGTCTACTGTGGCACTCCCTATTGCACTAGTGGCCGGATCACCCTGGGGGAGTGCTGTGGACTTTGCACACATTCTTCCTAGGCTCCTTGCCCTCTCCTGGCAAGCATGGCCTTGCCCTTCCCCCAAGGCCTGTACCAGCCTGTAAGAGTGCACCCATGTTGTCACATGCACCAGAGCTGGGCTGGGTGCCAATCAAACAGGCTGACATCACAAAAAGCCACAACCATACTCGGAAACTACAGATACAATGGGGCCCAAAAACCACCTGCTCCCTTGGGACCAACTAGGGCAGGGCTGATCCCTGTAGGGAACAGACAGGGCAGCTAGCAGGCGCTAAGTTCTCAGGGTGGCTCATGAACACCCTGCACACCCAGGCTTTAAGGAACACTCAGCCCCAGCCCGCCTCTTTCCTGACCCCAGTGATTTCCCTGAGTCTCCCTGAGGCAGACACAGCAACCCATTCACCAGGCCTGTACATCACAACCAGCCAAGTTCCTCTGGCCCCAGGCTTGGAGGAGCCACACACCCCTGTTCCAGGCCTCACCTTTCTCTCCATCTGCAATTCCCACCCTGCCTCTCTCAGTACTAAGAACAAGCTAGAACCCAGGTTTTAAGTCTGCCCTGGCACACAGTATAAAGAAGGGATCAACTTTACCTGAGGTGAAAATGGGGAGCCCAGGCCCACTCAGCTTTTCCCTCATAGGTGCCCCCTAGTGGTTCCTGAAATGCAGTGCATCTGTGTGGGTAAGAACATGGATTATTGCTGGAGGGCCTGGGGGTTCGCCTAGCTCTGTCATTTAGTATCTGGATAGCCTTAGACAAATTACTTTCTTTTTTAAAGCAGTACTTCAACTTCCCCATCTATAAAATGGGATTAATAATCCCTACCTTCTGTAATTGCTACGAGGAATGGATGGGTTAACACAGCTAAGGCCCTTAGAATAAGACCTCTACATGCTAATTGGTTAACAAATGTTAGAGAAAATCCATTTCAAAGAAGTCAGGCTGATGGCTGAGACTGCAACTTAATTGGTAGAGTGCCTGCCTGGCATTCATGAAGCCTGGTTCCATCCCATCACCACATACCTGTAATTCCAGCACTGGGAAAGGCAGAAAGATCAGAAGTTTAAGGTCCGGGTTGAAGAGATGTCTCAGAGGTTAGGTGCACTGGCTGCTCTTGCAGAAGATCCTGTTTGCTCCCAGCATTCACATGGCAGCTAACAACTGTCTGTTATTCCAGTCCCAGGGGATCTGACATCCTCTTCTGGCCTCCGTGGGCATTGCATGCAATGGTGCACTTAGATATAGGCAAGCAAAATATTCATATGCATAAAAGAAAAATAAAATAAAAACAAGTATAAGATCATCCTCAGCTACATAAGGAGTTTGAGGCCAGCCTGAGCAATGTCTCAAACAATAAAATAAAATAAAATAAAAATAAAGTAAAATTCCAACGGCCATTTATGCCATGGTAAAAAGCCAGGGTTACCAGGAAATGGGCCCAAGTCTGAATCTCAGCTTTGGTACCCTGCAGCTGAACACATTGGCCCCTCCCTTCCCAGAGCCTCACACCCACATAATGGGTCCCCCTGTTGCAGAACATACACAGAGCTCAGTGACTGGAGCCCTATGTGCTGAGGTGGTCCCCATGCAACTGAGCATAGTCTCGGGGAGGGAGGATTTCCTAACTTCAGTGTACACTTCCCCTTCTCCCTCCTGGCTCAGAAATCCAAGATTTCCACCTTTGAGAAGATGTGGGCCTTCATGAGCAGCAAGCCCTCAGCACTGGTGAAAAACAATGAGGAGGGTATCCAGCGGACACTCACGGCCGACTACGCGCTGCTCATGGAATCTACCACCATCGAGTATGTCACACAGAGGAACTGCAACCTCACCCAGATCGGTGGCCTCATCGACTCCAAGGGTTACGGCATTGGCACACCCATGGGTGAGCTGGACTCAAAGAGGTGCAGTGTGAAAAGAGGGTCACAAGTCCCCCACCTCCACCCACACTCACTCACATGGACCCCAGGCTCATTCCACCAAACCTGAGAAGGTAGTATTTCCTCAGCCAGAAGCAGAGGGAGGGAGCCATGTTCCTAGTGCGGTCAGCCATGACCCAGAGCAGTGAGAGCTGGGGCAACCTCCCTTCACTCTACACCTGCTGATGCTGCCCATGTACACAAGGCCTCCGAAGGCCTCAGAACCCACATTCAGTGAGCAAGGCCTCCCCATAAGACAGACACCTTACCTAGACTTGAGTAGGGGCCTTGGTCTCCGAAGGCCTCAGAACCCACATTCAGTGAGCAAGGCCTCCCCATAAGACACCTTACCTGTACTTGAGTAGGGGCCTTGGCGACAGCTCGTCTGGTAAGCAGCACCTACTGATTGCCCCCTGTCCCCTCCGCAGGCTCCCCCTACCGGGACAAGATCACCATCGCCATCCTGCAGTTGCAGGAAGAAGACAAGCTGCATATCATGAAGGAGAAGTGGTGGCGGGGCAGCGGGTGCCCCGAGGAAGAGAACAAAGAAGCCAGCGCACTGGGCATCCAGAAGATTGGCGGTATCTTCATCGTCCTGGCTGCAGGCCTGGTCCTGTCTGTGTTGGTAGCAGTGGGCGAGTTTGTGTACAAGCTCCGCAAGACAGCAGAGCGGGAGCAGGTGAGCCCCTGGCTGGGCTGCGCTGGAAGGAGAAGAGGAGGCAAGGGCATTACTGTGCTGGTTTCATCGTCCTAAAGACCGTGTACTCTGTCCGTGTCATCTCACCCTCCTGACAACCACCCTGCATCCAGTCCACCGGGATCCCACCAGCTCTCTGTCCTCACCGAACATGTCCTCCCACCACCATCGCTCTACCCTATCCCAGGCCAGGCAGCCATCACTGCTGCCCAAACTGTGTCCCAGCCTCCCAGCCTCCATGCCTTCTACACCAGCCTCTCTTTGCCCTTCCCCTCTGCCACTGATAGACCCCACAGCAGCCAGTACCCCCATTTCAAACTTAATTCAAACCATGTCAGCTCCCTTCCTAACCCCCCCAGGGTAATTATTGAAGCTGGGTGGTGGTGGCACAGGGGTTCATTATGCTGTTCTCTCTACTTCTGCGTATATTGGGGAATTTCCATAATGGAAAGTTTAAAAAAGAAAAGTTCCAAGGGCTGGCCTGAGCATATGGATGGTGGAGCTTGTCTCTCCCGGCCTGATTAATTCAAGCATGGTCGAGTAGGGGCTCTGGGTCCCCCTGGCAAATTAGAAGCACAGGGAGAGTTTTAAGTGCTAATACCCTGGCCTTACTCCCAGAGACTGTTTTAATTGGTCCATGGTGGAGCCTGGCTCTAGAGTTTGCAGAAGGCCCACGGGCTGATTTAAGCGTGCACCTGAGCTGAGAGCCTCTGGGCTGAGGTATCACCTTTCCCAGAGATGTTCAAAGGCATCCATGGCTGGCAGGAGTCTGCCAGTGGGTCATGTGTGGAGGGCCTGTTACTCTCAGCAACTGATAGACCCATCAAAATGAGCTGAGGTTGTTTAACAACCAGCAAGTCTAAGTCAGCCAAGCAAAGGGAGAAATGACCCTGTGCGTGTGTGCCAGTGCAGAGAGAAGTCTGAACAGGTACATTCCTGGATGTAACCCCACCGGAAGTGGGGGTCTTTAAAGCTGGTCATTGATTTTGATCAGTCATTGCCTACTTCCCTAAAAAAAAAAAACACCCAGTGGAAGTCGTCAGAGATGTGGATGGTTTTATTCACAAGGATGTTTGTCCAAGTAGGAATCACAACATGATGCACTGGAGAAATGCCTAAATATTTGACTGACAGTGGTTAAAAATTACAATACGTTAGGGGCTGGAAGGATGGCCCAGCAGTTAGGAAGAGTTCACTTCCCATCACCCACAATGCAGCTTACAACCATCTGTGATTCTAGTTCCAGGGGATCCGACACCCTCTTCTGGCTTCTGAGGGCATTGCATGGCATGGATGCACTTACATGCAGGCAAAACACATAAAATAAAAATAAACAATTATTTAAAATTATAATACATTAAAAGAGAACAGCCACCAGGTTCTCCAGGAATTCCTGTTAAGATTGATCTAAGCTCTAAATTTCACTAAAAAGCCTAAAGGACCTGGTCCTGGCCTACCTCTTAGACCTGCTCTTTCCTGTCCTCCCCTGACTTATGCTGCCCATACATGCCTCCTTTGTAGTCCATGACACTTAAGTGTGCTTCTGTCTCAGGACCTTTGCACATGCTGTCTCACCTACCTGGAAGGCTCTGCCTGCAGTATACCCTGTTCTTGGCACCATCTGTTCATATAGCTTTCAGCTAACTTGTTACCTCCCTAAATAGCCTTTCCTGCCTGCTCTCATTCGCAGCCCCTCTTTATCCCGTTTGGTGGCTTTATTCTCTTGATCATAGTCATCAGTGTCTGAGATGTATCACTTGTTCACATGCTCATTATCTGTTCCCATCCCATTATTAGACCCCAGCTCCCTGAAGCCTGGGGCCTCACCTGTCTTCGCCACTGTTCTGTGCCTAACACCTAACTTGTTGCCTTACGTATAGGAAATCCTTGCAGGAAGACAGGCTGAAGAGAGGTGGTTTTCTACATAGAGCAGGAAAGGGGGCACTGCGGCTTGCAAGGCCACAGGAAGAAGGCCTTTGCTCCTCAGCACCCTATGATCTGTACACGCCACTCCTTGCTAGCTGAGTTGGGCCGGCAGCCTGTCCCACTGTGTGCCATGGCTCCGGTGGTTGACCTCAGGAGCTACCACCATCAGATACCTATGAGAATGCTACACTCTTGCAGCCCCTCCAGCTACCTGCAGGGACCTTGGTCAGAAGAACTCTAAGGACCTGTCCACCAGTTACCCACCTTAAAAGTGGGCTGGACCCCTGAGCAGGAGGCAGTGATTCTGCCCCTTGGTTGGATGACACATCAGGACATGCTCCCTACATATTCCTCAAGAGCTTCTGCAACCCTGACCCAGGCCAGGCCTAGCACTAGGGGTTGGGCTTATATGAGCAAAACCTTAGTGTCTATGGGAGAAACCCCAACAGGTAAGGCAGAGCCCCTCATACTCTACCTGCATGCCCATGTGGCCTCACCTGTGAAATAAGGAGATGATATCCCCTGCCCTTCACCTTGGTTTCCAGGGAACTCTACAGTCATCTTGCTGGGGCCTAAGAGGTAGGCAAGGTGCAGGTGCCAAAGGCCCAGGTGGCTTTAGTGCTGAGTGGGGAGGGGGTGGAAGAGAGGAACCTGTCTCACTCTGTGCTTTGCTGTCTTCCCCCTCCCCCAGCGTTCCTTCTGCAGCACAGTGGCCGACGAGATCCGCTTCTCCCTCACCTGCCAGCGTCGTCTCAAACACAAGCCACAGCCTCCCATGATGGTCAAGACGGATGCTGTCATCAACATGCACACCTTCAACGACCGCCGGCTTCCGGGCAAGGACAGCATGAGCTGCAGCACCTCACTAGCCCCTGTCTTCCCCTAAGCACCAGTGCGGTGGGGACTTCAGATCTGGTCCGTGCAGAAGAAAGCAAAGGAGACCCAAAGGGACATCCTCATCTCATGCTGACCTGGGGACAGAGCTGCTGCCTGCATCCAGCTGTGAACCCTCAGTCCTTACCTACTGGGAAACCAGCAGGATCCAGGCCAGCTGCTTGGGCTTCATCTCCTCTTGTCTCTTCTATGGCTTTCTAAAGCTGCAAAGGCCAGGGGAAGCACATACCCCTCAGGCTCCACTCACCACACTTCTCCTCTGCTCCAGAGCCAAGGTTTTCTGTCATGGCCCTGCAGAGGCCCCAGAACACAGGAGATGGCTCTTATATTCCCCTCCTTTCCCACAAGCCCAGGCCTCCTAGCACATGACCATGAGAGTAGAGACTCCAACCCTGGGCACCTGAAGAATGTTCTAGTCAGGCTGATAGTGGAGCCCAGGGGCCGCTGTCCATACACCTGGGTGGAAGCAAGGCTTTAGCCCTTGGGAACTATTCACCGGGGCCTGGTCTGCTTTGCTTGGCTTCACTCATCGCAGTCCCTTGACAGCGTGGAAAGCACTGTGGAAAGGAGGAGTTTGGTATGGGAAAAGAGAATGCATAGATGGTGGCCACCATCTTGGATTGTTGTGGGTGATGTCCCAACAGCTCCCCTGCAACTAAAAAGTCTCCAGAAATTTAAGTGAGCAAATTCTTCTTCACTTCTGGCCAAAGGAGAGAGGGCACACCCTACCACCAAATCCCTCACAAAAGATGCCCAAAGATTTGGTTGACATCAGAAGACCAACAGAAGATGTGGATTTCATGAAAATATCACAGGCCCTTGAGCCATTAGACCGCGTAAGGGAACTGGCATTTGGGACCCTGGGGTCTCTACCATCTACTCATCAGCAACTCCATATTCCTGCCCAGTTGAACTTGGCCTTCCTCTGTCATCCTGGAAAGAGAAGAGTGGCCTCAGTTGAAGTGCAAGTCAACCCATGCCTCTCCAAAAGAGGAATCAGTGTCTCACCTCACAGACTAACTTTGGGGTAGGTGGGAAAAGCCAGAGAGGGTCCAAACAACATCTGGAGCTGTCCAACCTAAAGATCCCTCGAGAGAAAGCATTCAGGGGCAGGACAGGAGAGCCTCAGAGACCCCCCCCCCCCCGGGGTGGGAAGGGAAGCTGCCTCCTAGGAAATTAACCAAAGACACAACACAGAGACACAAGGCCATCGTGGCCCTTGATCTCTTACCTGGAGCAGCTATGGTCTAGGAAGGCTTGCAGGAGACCACAAAGTAGAATTCAGTGAGGAGCCAGCCAAGGGGGTGGTCAGATGACCTGTGGCTTCCAGCTCTAGAGGTTTGGAATTGTAAGAAAGTGAGACTCGAGGGGTTAGGCACAAGTGTCCTTACAGAGAATGACCAGGCCAGGAGGCCTCCTGTGGCTAAGGGTGGAGGCCAGTCTCTGAGCAGGGACCAGAGCTGGACATTCGGGGTGTAGAACTACAAGACACGAGCCACCCCCTCCTCCCCTCTCCTGGTGCTGCCAGTGGGGGAGGGCAGACTCTGATGAGTGACATCTGGATCTCAAGAGCCTTCTCAGTAGGGGTGAAGGAACCACAGCCAAGCAGGAGACCCCAGTGGGCACATGTGATGAATTCCGTCTTGCCAGCACCCCAGATTACAGCAGCTCTGGCTGTCTGTCTACACTGGATGGAGGAGGGAGGAGATGGCTAGACATGCAGCCAAGCCCAGTGCATGGAATGATAGGAAAAGTCATGCCAGCAGGAGGTAGGGGTGTTCGTGTATGTTTGTTTTTATATTTGTGTTTCAGGGGCTGGAGGTCAAGGACAGACATGGACATATAACATAGTCCATAGCAGGCAATAATAGACTGTGTGTGTGTGTGTGTGTGTGTGTGTAAGAGAGGGGGGGAGAAAGAGAGAGAGATGAGAGGGAGAGAGAGAGAGAGAGAGAGAGAGAGAGAGAGAGAGAGAGAACATGAGTGAAATGGGGAAGGAGACCACTCTGGACCAGCAGCAGAACCCTATCTATATAAAAACAGGAGAAGCCATGTCTCAATGGGGTTCTGGTGAGTACATGAATGAATGCAGGTGTACATAAGAGAGTGTGTGTTTGCATGAGTGTGTATGTGAGTCTGTGTGCTGAATGGCAGAGGATGGAGTAGGCAGGATACAACCTGCAGTGTAGCCAAATACATGTAAAAGGAGAAGCCATGTCATCAGGGGGTCCAATGTGAGTCTGTGCACATGTGTGCAAGCTTGTGTGCCCCCCCAGACAGCAGGAGGAGGGCAAACCAAACTGCCATGTCCCATGGGTGGATGTATGCTGTACTAAAGGAGTCATGTGGAAATGGAGTTTGTGAGTGTGTGTGTGTGTGTGTGTGTGTGTGTACACTCATGCCCATGTGTGTGCAGACTGCACCTATGGTCTAGCTTACATCACACTTAGAGGTGGCCAAGCATCAGTAAGTTAGGATGCCAGGGTTTGTTTGCACACCTGTCAAGGAAGGGATCATTTGTCTCAGCTTTCCCAAGACTCTGTGGGAAAGTGCACAGGGAGATAGCCAAGCGGGGTAAAGTCCTTCTGGGGCTCACAACTGGTGACCCCTTTGCTATATGCAGAGTGTCCTGTTGAAAGGAAAAATATTTTCTTATTTTCTGTGTGTTTTATTTCCAATCCCTGCTAACAAGATTCCACTGAAATCATTCCCTGATCTGTTCTCACTCACCGTGGGCATTAACCACTGTCTTAATATTGTTCAATACAATTTTATAGCACACGCCCACATCTATGCTCATGTCACACGTGTGCTTTGTACATGACACTACAGATGTGTCATGTTCTTCTGAGGCTATGCACATATGTAGATTACAATGGGGGGCGGGAGGAGAGGGGAAGGGTCAGTGGGAAGGTTTTTCATAAATGGAATGAAGAATGATGGGTGACTATACTGGGATTGTTTTTAGACTCCTACACAGAAGAGGGGTGGCATGCTACAGTATCCCCCCCTTCTGCTCGAGCCTTATATCCAGAGGTGTGGCTAATGCTCACCCTTTGGCCAGTGTCCTGTGTTTGTCCTAGAGACCAGCCCAGTGCCAAGCACCCTGGAGATCACTCTGCCTGGCTGAGCTGTGTTTCTCCCAGGGTACTGAAGGTGGCGCATCACCTGTGAGGAGGAATGGAGTGAGGGAACCAGCAGGGGTGTGACCTCAGCGAGGCAGATCATTCAAGTGAAGACCTACCCCCACCCTGTCAGGGGAACAGACACACACAGAGCTGGGGCTGGGGTACACACACAGAGGCACTGAGGGGTGATTGGGTAGCACAAAGGCTGGTTTGGATGGGGTCAATCAGACATACCTGAGCAGGTGCCTGGCTGGCTGGCTGGCTGATCCTATGGGCCAGCCCTAAATGAAGAAGTACCCCACTCCACTTGTTGGCCTGAGCTCCACTTGCACATACTAGCCTTGAGGCTGTTGTCCCAGGAGCCTTCTTCTGTCTCTCCCTAGCCCTGCTTCCTGTCTTTCTGCTATGGACAGACGAAACTCTGAGCATTCTGTGGATGCTCAGATGGGGCCAGTGAGTTGGACTTGAAATCTGAGGGATGGGAAGCCACTCCTCATCCTGGACTGAGTCTCAGCTGGAAGAGCACTTCCAGGTTCCTACACTTGTAGCCTGGGATCAGGGAGGAGTGAACAGTTAAACACCACATGAGAGAGCAGAAGTCAGATCAGGCCCATGTCCACCAAAAAGGACCATAGGCCTCTTTCCTGCCTTCCTTTGGGTCCAGGGAGAGCTGAGGGTGGGGTGCAGCTGCTACTTCATGCCACCTGAGGTCATCCTGCATCCCCAAAGCCGTTTCCTGTTGCAGGCACCAGCACCTGAACAGGACAAACAGCCCACTTCTGGAATCATCCTTCTGGGATGCCCATCTGGAAGGGGCCTTATGTCATGGACAAACAACTGTGTAGATTTAACATCTGGGGATCACCCAATCCGGTGGGCAGATGCAAGAATCAGGCTCAGTTCTGTGGACAGGTTTCTGGATAAGACACATCTGGAAGTCCCAAGTTGGGGTTGGAAGTGCACGGGTTGGAAGTGCACATCTGGAATAGGCCCAGCCACTTGCTACAGTAGAAGGGGCCTTGCCCCCTGTCTTCATGCCCTGGAGTTAAAATTTTAGAGTTGAGGTGTGTATGAAATCACAGAACTGTTTTAGGTAGAAGGCTGATGTTCTGTACTATATATATATATATGAATGTAAAATATATATGCTGTATATATATGCACAGTGTATATATGACCCATATCCCCTGTGTACACAACCCTTTCCTGCACGTCTGCACATGGAGTATACAGAACCTAGCCAGTATGGGTGGGGACCCAGTGAGAGATGGGGACCCAGTGAGAGATGGGGACTGCAGCAGCAAGGTCAGGTGTAAGTCATACAGCCCATGGGAACAGGACAGGCCCTATCAATATCAGTACTCCTGAGCACGACAGAGGACAGAAGAGTGTGGAACTGGCAAGTGGTCACGGGTGGGCATCTCCATCTGGGAATCTAAGGCAGGACAGGTGGGTGTGTCTGGGGAATAAGACCATACCAGTCCTTGGAAAGCCAATGTGACATTCTAGTCCCAGGGCAATTGCTAGGAGAAGGAGGACCAGGAAAGAGGAGGCTGTTCCCCACCCGCTCTTATCCCTGCCTGCAGAGTTGCTGGTGGGTGTCAGGCAGAGGATTGTGGGTGGCAAAGGCCTTACGTATGCAAGCTCTCACAGCTCATTGCTAGAGCAAGCACCTTCTGAAGAGAAAGGCCCGAGGGCATTGTTGGCATGCCCATGGAGTATCCTGATGTCCTAGTTATGGATCCAGCTCTCATTCTCCTACTTCTAAAACAGAGGCCTTCAAATCACCCCACAGTTTGTCTGTTTTACTTTTACAGATCAAAACTCTGAGGCCTCCCAGTAGGAGGAAGAGTCATAGGTGCAGTCAAATGCCAACCAAGAGTCTGCCCTAGCCCAGACCCAGGGACTAGCTGTCAGGGAGCCATCAAGGAGCCAGAGAGGCAAGGTGGGAGATGAGAGGCAAGAAGGCAGTTCCTGTCCTTGCCCAGCCCCATGCTGTCTGCCCACCCCTCTCCCTGCTCCTTCCCCAATAGGGCAGCAAGCAGAGAGCCACAGACCTCTGTCCCTGCCTTGCCTGGATCTGTCTGTTGATGGCAATTTGAGCCCTTCAGCCCCTTCCTGGATCCTGGCATCTCTGGAGCATGCAGGGGAGAGGAGACCTAGACTTTGCTTCTGTTTGGTCTGCAGCCTGCTGTCTGCTTCAGCCCCAGCCCTCAGGCCATCAGCACTTAAATGCCAGACCAGCTTCTGTGGCCCTGGCCAAGCGCATCTCAATCCAGCCACTGAGGAGAGTCCCATTCTGGCTCCACAGAGACCAGAGGCTCCAAGGGCCCTCATACCACTGTGCTCCAAAACCCCAGCCCACCCCTGCCTGGGCCGACTTCCTGGCTGGGTCTCTGTGATGGGGACCTCAGTTCCCAGCCCCTGGGCTGAACCCCCAGACAGCACCATGGGCCTCCAAAAGCCCTGGCCTGTCCCACCACCCAGACCAGAGTGCCTGGATGCCCCCCACTCCTACTCAACACAGTTCCCACATGCTGGTCTCTGGGCCATTCAGGGGGTGCCCTTTGTGGACATGCAGAATTTCTATGAATATAGTTTTTTGTAAACATTTTGTAACAATTTGGGTTTCATAGTAACTGTGTTACTTGCCAATCATTCTAGGCTGATGTAAATACATTTCCAAACAAATCTGATTATTTTCCTTTTTAAGACACTGTGATATATCAAAGTGCACAGTTTGCTGTATGAAGTAATATGGTTTTAAATTTTAAATAAAGAATGTTTTTAGAAAATAGTTCCCTCTTGAGGTATGTTTTCTGTTTCTTCAGAACAGAGGTGATGGGTAGTTCATGTTAGTCATCTAACTCCCAGAGATGATTGTGCCCAGGTTCGGAGACCCTGTACTGGGCAGGTGGCTACCTCCAGCTAAGACGACTGGTTCTGTTTCAGGTATCAAGGCCATAGTGTTGCCTTGAGACTGTCTGACCTCTGTCTCCTCTCTCAGGCATGCCAAAGTCATCATCTTCACAGGCTCTGAGGAGCTTCTGTGTCCTTAGATGACCCTGGCCCTTTGGTCACAGTCAGTAAGGTCAGGTGTCTATCTCATCCCAGAGTGGCCAGTCAGATCTTGCACGAGTCTTTTCCAGCTGGAAAGGAGAAGTCCCTGTTGGCTATTCTAGAGATGTTCAGGGTGATCACTTTAAGCAGGCAGAATTGAATGCCACTGGAAGAAAGCAAGGTCAGTCATCCTGGCTCTCCAGGAATGGCTTCTGGAAAGATACAGAACTAGCCCACCATGGGGGTCACTTCCTTCCATAAAGCCGGCACAAGATCCAGGAGGGAGAAACACACCCTGGAGTTGCAATCCAAGCTTCTAGAAGTCTTAATGGAGTAACTTATCAGCCTAGCCCCTATCATAATTGTGTCTCATTGTCCAGGAAGCTGGAGATGGTTAGTGGAGGGATACTGCTAAATCCCCAGGTTCCCATGACAGAATAACCCAAATGGGAACAGGAAGGGGGCCTCTGCATCCCTCTGCCTCTCAGTCTCATGCCGATAGATAGATTCACTTAGTAGAGACTAATCTCTCCTGCCCCAGAACCCTCTATGTCACCCTATGGCATGATCAGAAAACAGTCAGTATGTATTGAGTGCCTGTGCTAAGGTCTCAGGATCACAGCTCTGATTCCCAGAAGAGTAGTCATGATTAGAAAAACTTGGGTCAGATGGCCACTGGTAGTACCATCATCTGTAGACTGGGGAAAGAGTAGAGACCCATAATACAATCATGAGACACAGGTATATAGCTTTAGTGGGAAAATTCTAGAAAATGCTATTCTATGCTGGTTGGCAGGACTTCTGAATTGTGCACCCTCCTGTCCTGTCACCTGAAAAGAATCAAGCAAGGCCCCAGTCATCTTAGTGGATAGAGAGGAGCCCCTGGACCCTGTGGGTTACAGTGTCAGAGAGGTCTCTTCCAATTTGGAACCATAACCAGGTAGGTGGCAGGGAAACGTCCTCAGTTGAAGGATGTCTATCTGTCATTGGGGCAGAAGTCCTGAAGGTTAGTACACGTGTCCAGCTGAGGCTGGGGAGATACAGATGTGCGACAGGCAAAGAACTGACAGAAAGGAAGTCATAGTAGAGGTGAGGGAACAGAGCAGCCACCTATCATCCACTCATCCATTAAGTCCTTCATTGAAGAGTGCAAGAATTCAGCTCCACCTCTTACTGGTTGTGTAAACTTGAACAAATAATTGAGTACTCCGGAGCCTTAATTCCCTCATCTGTAAAATGCTGATCACAAGACCATCCACACTCGGGGAGTGGCAGTGGGGACTCAGGAAGAACTTGGTGTTTTACGTGCTTAGCACAGGCCAATCTGTCTGAAGCCCAACAAAACATGAGCACTGCTCTCATCAAATAAAATGGAGAGAAGAAGCATTGGGACCTCCTATGCCCAGTCCTCTCTGCAATAGAATGGTGGCTCCTCCAGCTGTGCCCAGAGGTCCACTGGTGACCCTCGGGCCTTTCTGATACTGTGTGGCCCTGATGGTCCCCGAGCTGGGCATTGGGAGAATAGAGCCCCCCTCTGTACTTGGTTGGTCCTCCCAGGTTCTCTATCTAGGTGACTGCCTCAGGGAAACAAGAAAATGATAATGGATATGGTGGGTTTAGCCTTTCCTTCCCTCAATCAGGAGGGTGCTGCCCTGAGAGGAAGGGAAGTTCTGGCTGTTCCCTCCTAAGGAAGGGCATACAGCCCACATGGCCTGGTTAACGATCAGAAAGGATCCTTGAACATAGTTACCTCAGGGCCTCACTCTGAAAACTGCTTTCAGGGATCTTTTCTTTCCCTGCTCACGTGAGCCTCTGAGGCAGCCAAGGTGATTCCGTGTCACAGGTAATCCCATGTCACAGGCAAGCCACCTAAAATCTGTGACTTGCCCAAGGTTGCCTGCCTAAATTGAGGTGGTGGTTGGGAGAGCCTTGAAACTCATCTTCTATTCTAAGTCCAGGTGGTGTCCTATCCCGGCTGCCAAGAGAGATGGCTGGAGAGAGGTCAGGTCCCTGAACTATCGAGTGATGGGGTTCCAAAGGAGTGGAACCCAGATCAGTTGGTCTCAGAGCTCCGTGCTCTGAGTGGGGTGACATGACCAAGATCAAAACCTCAGGGCTGAGACTCCTCCAGACTGAGAAGTCACGAAAGACCTCAGCAAATGTGTTTCAGACCTGTTTTGTCTGACTGGCAGTATCAGCCTTGGACACAGGAATAATCACAATAATGATGGGTAGACCACGGACACGGGAGGGGTTTCCCCAGCTTGGAGGACGATCTCTAGTTCAGTTGCCCTTGGTTAGGTCTGACTGGGGGAGGGCATCCTTGCTGCCCTCCCTCCACATTCCCCTCAGTGCTCTGCATGCAACCCTGATTTCCTGGAGCACAGAAGGGCAGCTTGGTTGTAACAAAGGATCTCTGCTTGGTCAGACTGTGGTCAGGTTCCTGTGTCTTTTGCTATTTCTGAAGCCCAGTGCTAGCAAAGAGTCCTGCTAAGTCAGGACCCCTCATGCTTGCTATCCAATATGGCACATCATCCACCACCCCTCCCCTTGCCCCCATTGTCTTGTCACCCAGCCCCATCTGCAGGAAGGATCCTATTAGGTTGGTTTGTCTGAAAGCCCTTTAACCCTGGACGGATGGACCCTTTTATTCATTTTCCCTCCACTGGTTCCTCCTCCTGACTCTTAGCTATGGATTCCATGCATGCCTTATAAGGAAGCAACATTTTCTCGGGTGAACTTGAGTAGGTCTCTGTCCTTTACCACAGCAATGTCTGACTGCAGTACCTTTCTGAGCACCGTGCCCCTCGGCCTAGGTACAGCAGAACTAGGAGCCAATGTGGGTCCTGTGCATGTGCACTGTGCACTGACCAGGGGAGGCCAGGCTATGGCTGTACTTATGGCATCTGTGAATGCCCAGGAGCAAGCCAAGAAAAGGAAAAGGTCAGGGGTGGGGCTGTAAGCCAGACAACAATCCTGACCCAGGGCCTGTCTCCCCTGGGGCCTTGATGGCACTTCCTTTGGAAACAGAAGCTGAGTATTTAAGAAGCATCTGTCATTATGGAAACAATGCCAGGCCATTTTTTCTTTTCCTATTTTTACTGCAGTTTCATTATCTTATGCAAATGAGGCCGCTGATGAGGCCTTTCTGCAGGGTGGCCCATGCTGGGACCAGCTCCACTGAGGGGATTTATTGCCTGCCTGGGCCCTTAACAGGATTCAGGATGAGGAGGCCCCATGGAGATGTCTTCCAGAGCAGCAGCCGCAACCTAGAACAAGCCTGTCTCTGGACCAGCAACAAGGTTCGGTCTCTGTCCCAAATACACCCAATCCTTAACCTTCAAAGGCCCAAGTGTCATCCCCATGTGACTCGGGCCTCTATCTCTGACTTTCCAATAGCTGGAGCCTAGAAGACTGCATAGCCAATTCCCAACACCACATGAGGGAAATGAAATATATTAGACAAGCCACGTCAGGCCCCATAGTGCTAAGAGAGAGGTACAGTATGAGCCTGTCCCTGAGATAAGGATTCTGGGACCCTGCATAGGTCATGTGACATAAGCATTCTCATCTCAAGGGTGAAGGAGCTGGGGTGTATAACCACCAAGCCCTGGTCATCTCTGACTGGTCCCAGAGCAAGTCAACTCTGAGTACTTGTGACGTACCATGAGGAACACTGTGGACCAGGACAAAGCCTCAGGTAGAGCAATGCACATGTCTGCTCAGGAAACTGAGTGGTTTGTGCAGAAACAGTAAGGGCAGGAGATGGGTGGGTGCTGACAGCATCTATGAGGCCATTTTCTAGGTGAAGAAACTGAGGCCAAATAACTTGCCCAAAGCCCAGGAAGTAGGTCCAGGGCAGAGATTAACCCAGGGCTCTCTGCCTCCCGAGTTGTCACTAATAGCACCACATCCCCTTTTGGCCCTCCCTGCTGCTCACAGCTCAGTCTCCCCTGCCCAGCCCTCCCTCAGCTCCTTCTGTAGCTCTGAACTCACTGATAGCCTCCACCACCCCAGCTGGCTATAGGCTGTCTCCCAGGTCATCTTCTCTTAGCACTAACAATGTTGACAAAGTACACATTCTCCCCAGAGTCCAGCAGCTCCCAAATGCAGAGAACTTTTCCTTCAAGAGACTGGCTTCTGTTCAGTCTTAGTGGCCCAAGCTGGTGCCTTTAGTTCACTGTGAAGACCAGCTTCCTCTGTATATTAGCCAGCTTTTCATTAACATAATGACATGCCTGAGCTGGGTTAACTTTATAAAGAAAAGAGATTTACTAAGCTCACAGTTTGGAGGTTCAGAGGCACAGTGGCTAACAGGGCTTGGCTCTGGTCAGGGCCATTCAGCTACATTATATGGAGATGGCATTGTCGGGAGTGTGTGGGAGTAAGGGATCATATTCAGCACATCGAAGCAGAGAGCTGGATGGGGCCCTGCTTAGGCTCTTATAAGGACCCTCTCACAAGAACTGCCTCTATATCTCCCCAAGAGGCCACCCCCAAATGACCTGGGGACCTCCAGGGTTTATCTCTTAAAGATTCCACCTCTCAACATAGCCACTGAAACCCGGGCGCCTGACACATGAACCTCCAGGGGTATGCTTAAAACACATCCAAGCCATACCATCCTCCTTCCCTACAACTCAGCTTCAGAGCTCTAAGATTTCTC